ACGTGACTGAATAGGTAGCTTATAATTTGAAATTGCTATAGAGATATGTATTGAGTAGAGCTCATTTGTGGCAACAAACAGTATTGAAATTGCTTTGACTTTACCCTTCTCATTGTGCCTTGAGGCAGTAGCAGTCAAGGAAGAATCGTGCACCTGAGAAGAAGCCTAGGTCAGCACCTAAGCTCCCCATTTCTGCCTTAGCTCCTACTTGGATTCATGACATTCCCATTAAGCACCACCCGGCTAACCTTGCTTGCTAATGCCTCACTTCTCAGACCTATTGACTTTCAAATTTCATTAAATCTTAAGAGTCATGTGGCCCATATGCAGTGCCTTACATCAAAACAGCTACGAGCATTAACATGATGATGAGAAATACTAAGCATATTCTTCTACCAACAGGGTCTTTCTGGAAGCATTGGTTTAACCGTCAGGAGTGATGTAGAATGTTGAAAATAGCAGGTGCTGTGGTTGGCTGGTGGAAAACTTCTGTGGGGATGGTCGAGTTTAGTATCTCTCAGGTGACAAAAACTGTGAACTCTTATCAGTGAGGGCCTGCAGCTACCCACAGGGCTGGATGTATCAACCTTCTCACCCCTCAAATTTCCATAGGACTCTTCCACCCTAATCAGTTATAATGTTTGAACGTAATCAAGGACATCCACATTTACAATATGCAGTTAGATGCAAAGAAAAATAATTCTGTAAAACTGCCAAAGATTTAGTTCCTAGCTGTGTTCTTGCAGAACAGAAATCAACCAAAATGAGGAAGCTGTGCCTGGCTGTTCATGGAGGCCACTACTTGCCCATAGCAGGAAGCATTGGCAAACCATGACATCCCTGCTCAACTCTCTAGGTTGTCCTCACTTGTGGCTTCTCCCAAGGCTGGATGGACCAAGTAAACATGCATCCTGCCCTGGAACCTGGGCTCTCTGTGCCAAGATTCTCCTTCTGTCTCCCAAGGATATGATGGTGCAAAAACAGGATTCTGTCATGTCAAAAAGCTGTGCAAAATCCAATAAAAAGGAAGAACATTGTGAGGTGTCTGTTCTTGCAGGACAGGAGTGTTATGTAAAGAAACAAAATGTGAGAGGCAAGAAATAAATGGGCTCATGAGGTCCTCATGCTGACTGGGGCTTTCACGGACCCTTTTGGTTGTGCAATGGACAGTCATAGATTTAGATTCAAGATCTACCTCTGGAGTGACAAAATGGCCATTTTTATTTTCAGCTGTTTTAGGTTTAAGTTTTCACAATGTCTCCAAAGTCACCCTTTGAATACACCAAAAGGAGAAAGGTTCCTGAGGACACGATGCACTGTTACTTGTTTTTATTGTAAGCAGCTGAGCATCAGTAGGCACAGTTAGAGGCTGGGTTTACTTGGCAGTCCCTTATTGTTCCTGGATGTTCAGACTCCCAGGGGTAGCATTCCCATGTAAGCTATTGCAGTGAGATTCTGATAAATGAGTCTCGGCTAACCATGCAGTGCACACAGCATCTGAAAGAAACAAAGCTCGCCTCTGACTCAGCATAGGTACAGCTGCAGGATTCATTTTCCAAAATGTAGAGGAGCAACACCAGAATTGACTATCACCTCCCAGCTCTGGTGTCAGCAAAAGATGGGATGCACCTGCTATTGTTTATTCGAATAGGCTGTAATAATTAGGTAGAGCTCACGGAGCCTGGCTTATATAATTGCCTGTCAGTAATAGTCAGTCCAATGGCATATTTTAGAAGTTACATCAGGAAAACACTCTCAGGATCAAACAGGAATTTATTTATATACCAGAAATATTAAAAGGCAGGACAGAAGTTATGCTTTATGGCAAAAAGAAAGAGATATGAGTCCATGGCTTTTAAAAATTTCTATGAGGCAATTTTTTAGAGCAGTAAATACTTGGAGCTTCATGGAAAAGAATTTACAATGCACTCTGTGTGTTTTATTATTCATTATTTAGTGAGCATTGTGAAGTCGATTTTGTTCAAGATATGGATGAAGGCATGGAGTTTATTCATGGGATCTCTGATTTAAAATGAGTAAACCAATTCATAATACAAATACATCAATCATAAGATTCAATACATGAAAAATAGCTTAAATACCAAAGTTTCTCTGTGTAGTTCTTTTAGAGGTTAGGGGATAGAGCTTTTGGTTTCCAGAACTTGGAAAATCACTTGCAGGAAGGGGAAGAATTTCAAGTATATGGATATTATACAAGAATATGTAAATAGGAATAATAAAATAGAGGAAAGGATATTTTTTGAGCTTTCAAGTAACAACAGTAGAGCAAGTAGAAGAATAACAGTAATGGCAATTAGGTAGGGCTGCCCTCAGCTTGTAGAGGGCCAGAGCTAGATGTCCTGATTCCCCATCAGACCTGCTCTTCATCCCTCCACTATAGCCCCAGTCCTGAAGGATCTCTACAAGCTGTATCATCTGGGCTCCTTTGCCCACCAGCTTCCAGTTGGTTCAGCCAATGGGAGGCAGCAGCTGGAGGTCAAAGAGGAAAGCCTACAGGGATCAGAGCATCCTTCTCCAGCCCCATCCCTGATAGACCTTGGTTCGGCAGTTACTGTGTCATTGGGTGCCTCTCTGTGGTATCAGTTCTTGTTCATTCTGCTAACAGCTTCTTCCCCTCACCCCCTGGGGCCCCCTCTCCTGTGGCCAGCCCCAGGGTGCTTCACCTCTCTGGGCTGGTTTCCTTTAACTCGTTCACACCTTTATAAATAGCCTCTTCTTTAAACTCTCTTTATTACCCCTTTGAGAGTACCATCTATTTCTTACCAGGACACAGACAAATATAGCACCTTGGTAGGAATTAGAAAAAGGCACCCAGATGGGTGCATGGGGGTTCATTATGTTACTGTCTCTACTTTTATACTTATCGAAGTTTTCTAAAATAAAAAGAGTATCAAAAAGAAAACAAAAAGGCACTGCTTTTGGTGTATGGTGCCCTGCAGGGGCGTAGCTTGGTGACCACAGAAGTGAGGCTGGATTTCAGCACCAATTCACACCTGCAGCTCCAAGGGGTGACTTTGTGCAGTGTACAAAATACCCAACCAAATCTGGCAGCCTTACAAAAGGGTAGGTAAGTCCCTGAAAGCTGGGAAATATCTTGAGGAGAAAGTGAGGGTAGACCTGGGTCTTTAAGGGTATTTGGTATTTAAATAAGAAACTGCATTATGGAAGTTAAGGAAAACCTGTGGGACAGGAAGACATAGGATGGCTATAGGGAGTCAACTCTGTAAGACAAGGAGGGACCCTGGAGAGAGTATGAGAAAGTAGAAGTGGGTGGAGACCCTTTGATTGCTGAGCTATAACGTGAATTCTAGCTGATGATCCTCCAGGCAGTTTGGGGCAGTGTTAGGGCACGGGGGCTCCAGAGCTAGGCTGGGAGTAAGTCATGGTTTTGCCAGCTGGTAGCTCTGTAACTTTGCACATTTGCTTATTCTCACAAAGCCTCCGTTTACTGTTTCATCAAACAAGGATAAAATACTCCTTATCTTCTAGATTTGCTGTTGGGCCAAATTTAAAGATGTGTGTCAAATGTTGAGTACAGTGCCTGGTAGTTAGTAAGTGCTCACCGGACATTAGCTACTATCCTCAAAAGTTTTTAAACAGAAGAGTGATATGATAAAAGCAGTATTTTTTGAAAATTAATCATACAGCATGTGCAGGATGCGCCAGAGAGGAAAGAAGGGTGGGAGGGGTCACTCTGAGGCTGCAGTGGGTGTCTGCAATCCAGTGAGGAACATGGAAGTGGGAAAATAGAAGCAGGTATAAGAAACTCCATGAGAAGAAGAGGAAGAGAACCGGAAGATGGACAGATCGTGAGAGTAAGAAGGAGCCAGAGAGGGCCCCAAGCACGTTTCCAAGATCTTTAGCCTCCACTTACATAAATACCCCTAGGCAGCTCAGGCAGCTCACATTGAAGGGCTGACAATTTTGACATATTGGTACAAGTGAAAGAAATGTGAAATTCAGAATCATTTGATTTTACCCTTCTATTTTACTGAACATTGGGAAATCTACCTAATGAAACTCAAGATTCTATTATAAAATAAAAACCCTAATCTATACTTCAGTCATTCCAGTAATCACTGCTGACTCCTAAAATGTCCCCAAAGCAGTTTTTTACATCCAGAATTTCTTTTGATTAAGATCTGAGGTAGGGCCTCTGCAGTTGAGAATGGGCATCCTCACAGAGAACTCTCTTGAATCATACATAATTTATAAGTTCAGTTCTTATTGCCAAAATTAGCAGAACTGAGGAAGGTATTGAATCTTTAACCTAAGCTGACATTTGGGGTGGAGGGAGGAAAGAGTGATTAATGTGAAACAGTGGTGGTGTGGTTTGACTGTGTCCCCTCCCAAATCCCATCTTGAATTATAGTTCCCATAAACCCCAGGAGACATGCGAGGGACCTGGTGGGAGGTAATCGAATCACGGGAGCTGTTACCCCATGCTGTTGTTCTCATGATAGTGAGTTCTCACAAGATCTGATGGTTTTATAAGGGGCTTTTTCCCCTTTTGCTTAGCACTTCTCTTGCCTGCTGCCATATAAGATACGCCTTTGCTCCTCCACCTTCCACCATGATTGTGAGATCTCCCCAGCCATGTGGAACTGTGAGTCTCTTTAACCTCTTTTTCTTTCTAAATTACCCAGTCTCAGGTATGTCTTTATTAGCAGTGTGAGAATGGACTAATACAAGTGGTTTCTTATAGGTCCCCAATTTCACATTTATTTGTAGGCAAACCTACCTAAGAATTAACTGCCATTTAAAAAAAACTAGTCTGAGGCTATTTTAGCCACATCTCCATCTGAGAAAATGTATTCCGTGTTTTTACTATTTGGCATTCTTTTCTAGGAACTACATCCAGTTTTGCCAGGTGTCTTGGCTGACTGTTAGAGACAGTCATCTGGTTTTTCATGGCAGCATCTGGTTCTGCAGTTTCTGTGGCATCTCCCTGAGCTGTTCTCTCCCTCTCTGCCTTGCAGATACTTGCCTGAGATCATGAATGATGGGCTTACCAACCAGATCAACAATCCTGAGGTGGACGTGGACATCACTCGGCCGGACACTTTCATCAGACAGCAGATCATGGCTCTCCGTGTGATGACCAACAAACTGAAAAACGCCTACAATGGCAATGATGTCAATTTCCAGGACACAAGTAAGAAAAGCCTTCCCAGCACCAGGAACTTCCAGAGTAAAGAATCGTTTTAGAAGATGATACCCTGACTTTCTTCTAGAGCAATATGCCCTTGTAATTTTTTTCATTCTTCCTTAGCTTGTAATGCTTGTTATAGTATTTTGGACAGAGAGCTCTGATCCACAAAACATAGAATATGAATAAAATCATAAATTCCACAGCACAAGAAATAATTGCAATGGATTACATTCAGCCATACCAAAGCTGAAATTGAGTTTCATCTACCAGTGGATTCATTCATGACAACACTGCAAAGTAATTTTTTCACTTTCTTCTGTCCTCATCAGTATTCACATCTGCCCCAAACTTCTGCCCTGTTCCCCACAAAAGAAGAAAGCTTGGCAGATTGCTTAGACAAGCCTGAGATAGAATCCCTTATTCCTTAATAATTGGAGTCTCTATAAATTACTTGTTGAGTCTCAGGTTCCTCCTCTATAGAATGGGAAGCATCCCTGCTTGAGAGGTTTTTGGGAGCCTCATTTGTGGAGCTATGATAGTGTCTGGTGGGTAGTGAGCAGGTTCAGCTACATCATTTCCTTCTCTATCCAGCTATGCACATATGCAATCTAGAGACATTTGTGTGTGAAATATTGAGAGAAATCGTAAAATGCCAGTGCAATATTACATGTGACTATTTCACTAAGGATCAAAGACGCATCAAAAGTTATTTGGAAGACTATTAAGTGAACATTGACATGAAACTAACTATACAGGGGTTTTGTCTGAGTGGTTTTAAGATGAATAACTACAAAGGAACATTTTCTATTGTTGTTTGTGGTTTTTTAAAATATTATCCTTACAAAGAGCGTTCCCAGGACAAGAATTCTTGAACATAAGATGTGAAGTTTCCAGTGATTCTGTAATTTCATCCTTGAAGCATAAGATGATGTTTGTGTGCTTGGATTAATGAGATAGGAAGAAACAAGTTACAGAAAGAAGACCTCAAATCACCTTAGTCTTAGCCATCAACCTACCAAGTTATCCCCTATAGAAAATTTTTGTGCTTTATTCCATTTTAAAGAACTCAAAAAAAATTTTTCTAAACACGGAATAATTACCAACCCAATGGACATTATTGCTGTAAAATTCCTCAAAAACACCCATCATCTCTCCTCCTTTTGCTAAACCCCTCCTTTCCTCTTCAGAAGAGAACATTACACATGTTTTAGTCATTGTGTCTTCACTCTTGTTAGCACTTAGCCTTATACCTCTCATTTTATCCATTGTCTTCTCCATTAAATAAAATGCTGTATTATCTAGAGAGTGAATATTGGAATGAATAATTCAAGATACATAAGAATTAGTTGGCTTGGCTTTGTTGCTTCTCATTCCTCTCTGACCTATAGAGGTTACACACATATCAAGCCGCAAAGCTCAGGGAATAGCCAGGAGGCAAAGATCTTGCTCCATTTCCCCTCAAAAGAAAATAAAATCAACAAATTAGAGGATCTCTGCGTTCTAACCCAAGCATCAAACGTGGCCCTCTATTTTAGGTTACTGTCTGTTGTACGAACCATTATCACATCTTATAACCATCACCATCCTTATTGCTTTGGACATTTTTTTAAGTTACTCATCCCACCCCTTAATATTTTCATTTGTGATTCCTTTTCAGAAAGAGATGGGGCCATTATTTTTTCCATCCAAAATCTCCTGTCATATTTGCTTCCCACATTTTTTAACATTCTAAATCATTTTAATAATATCTCTGTAAAGGTTGTATTACTTCTTGTTCATGACACCAGTGTTCAGAACAATTCCCTTAGCAATTCTGGTATCTCTGAATTTAATTAACGGGAATTTTCCCCTTGGAACGGCCACTAAAGATAAATCAGAGAAAATGTTAAAAACCTAGTATAGTGCATTGAAGTGATCTTATCTGGTATTTAGATGTCCCATTAAAAAAAGAAACTGTGCTCATTTTTTAACTGTGTCTTTCTCATTCAAGAGGACATTAGAGGAGTCCCTACATTGCCCCAGCTTTACTTAAGAAGCATCCAGCAGCTAAAGCTGGCCCTGGTTTCTCGGGAGCAGCTCAACAGGGCATCACCATTTCAGACTAGCAGGGAGGGGTTTAAGGGTATTGGTTGGAAATCACTGAGCAAGTGAAAGAAATAGCTAATATCCTTAAAAGCGTCCAGTTTCCTCAGTCCTTCCAGGAACATCATTCCCCATAAGAGACAGATGTTACCACTCTCATTTTTACAGGTGAGGAAACAAAGCCTCAATGAGTCTAACTGGCTTACCCTGGTGCATTTAAATAACAAAGGCAGGATACATTCTAGGTCGCCTTTGCTGTAGGAACCATGTTTTTTCCATCAGGCATCACTGGCAGCACTGGGTTTGGTGTCTTTGAGCACTCTCGTGATTTGTCGTCACAGACTCTCTGCAACGTCAATGTTGTCAATTGTATTTGTTTGAGGAAACTGGCAAAAGTTGAGTAATTGCCCAAAGCACATTTATTTATTCCAAAAGTATTTGCTGAGCACTTGCTGTATGCCAGGGGCCACTGAAGGCCTTAGAGGTACAGAAATGAACTGGATTTACCAAATCTCTACCCTCTCAAAGTTTGTGTCCTCAGTTTTCACTCTTGAGAAGGATATAAATAGTAAGCAAGTAAACAGGCACATAAATAATATACCTCCAAGCAGTGATAAGTACTTTCATAAAGCTAGTAATTGATAGCCTGATCTGGGCCAGGTTTGAGTGACAGGGTTAGTCAAACAAGAAGGAATCAAGCCACGAGAAGTGGGAATAGGGAAGAAAGCAAGTTGGGCAGGAAGGGACAATGCCACCTGGGTCAACATACTCTGGGGGCCCCTGGGCATTGGTTTCAAGCAGAGAATGGCCAACTGTTTCTGTAAAGGGCCAGATATTAAATATCTTAAACTTTGAGAGCCACATCATCTCTGCCACAACTATCCCACATTGCTGGTCTAACGTGATAGATAATATGTGTGTGAATGGGGGTAGCTGGGTTCTAATAAAACTTCATATATGGACACTGAAATGTGAATTTCACATACACTTTTTACATATTGTAAAGTATTATTCTTCACTTGATTTTTTGCAAACACTTAAAACTATAAAACCACCAGGTACAGTGGCACATGCTAGTAGTCCCAGCTACGCGGGCAGCTAAGACAGAAAGGTCACTTATGCCCAGGAGTTTGGGGCTGTAGTGAGTTATGATGATATCACTGCACTCCATCCTGGGCAACTGAACCAGACCCTGTCATTCATACACACATAGATAGATAGATAGATAGATAGATAGATAGATAGATAGATAGAATTTTATGGATAGCTATAAAATATATTTTTATGTAAATAAACCATTTTGGGGCTATGGACCATACAAAAGCAAGCAAGCAGCAGGTCATAGTCTGTCAACTCCTGGTTTAAAGGGAGAGACTGACTGAGATGGAGCCCATCCTTGCTCTCAGGAGAACACAGGTGGGGAAATATGGCCAAAAGTAATATTAATAGAGGCCTCCCACTACTATTGCTACTGCTCCTCTCATTTCCTATGCATAGAACTTGTTTTCCTCTTCTGTATTTTTCTTTTAAAATCCTTTAAAAAGCATGATATCTTCGTAGAGCAATGGCTCTGAGTATAAAAAGAGCAAAGAATGGAATTTCTTAAACTCAAGTACTGGCCAGAAGAAATGTCTTTCTAAGGCCAACATGGTAGGTATGGCCTCTCCTTGAGTCTGGGGTTCTCACGTTTCTTATGTGCTCAGATATCAATTGTTACTGTTCTTCAAACACCTCTATTTCTGTACAGCCCACCCACTCAGCACACCCCTGCCTATTAAAAACAATCCTGTTGGGTAGAGTGGGGGACCATGGATGGGGAGACTTTGCTTCCCACCACGTGCTCCCATATCTGCTGACCAAGTTGTTGCTAGTCTTTCCTGGTTGGCGGTTGTATTAGTCCGTTTTCATACTGCGATAAAGAACTGCCAGAGACTGGGTAGTTTATAAAAGAAAGTGATTAATTGACTCACAGTGCAGCACAGCTGAGGAGGCCCCAGGAAAATTACAATCATGGTGGAAGGGGAAGGGAAAGCAAGGCACCTTCTTCACAAGCTGGCAGGAAAGAGAAATGCCAAGCCAAGAGGGAAGAACCCCTTATAAAACTGTCAGATCTCGTGAGAACTCACTATCACGAGAACAGCATGGGGGAACCAGCCCCCAGGATTGAATTGCCTGCACCCCATCCTCTCCCCAGACACGTGGGGATTATGGGGATTACAATTCAAGATGGGATTTGGGTGTGGCCACAAAGCCTAACCCTATCAGTGGTCTAACTTTCTTTTTCAATCTTTCCACACTAGGTGATGAATCCAGTGGCTCAGGGAGTGGCAGTGGGTGCATGGACGACGTGTGTCCCACGGAGTTTGAGTTTGTCACCACAGAGGCCCCTGCAGTGGATCCCGACCGGAGAGAGGTGGACTCTTCTGCAGCCCAGCGTGGCCACTCCCTGCTCTCCTGGTCTCTCGCTTGCATTGTTCTGGCACTGCAGAGACTGTGCAGATAATCCTGGGTTTTTGGTCAGATGAAACTGCATTTTAGCTATTTGAATGGCCAACTTACTTCTTTTCTTACACTCTTGGACAATGGACCATGCCAGAAAAACTTACCGTTTTCTATGAGAAGAGAGCAGTACTGCAATCTGCCTCCCTTTTTGTTTTCCCAAAGAGTACCGGGTGCCAGACTGAACTGCTTCCTCTTTCCTTCAGCTATCTGTGGGGACCTTGTTTATTCTAGAGAGAATTCTTACTCAAATCTTTCGTACCAGGAGATTTTCTTACCTTCATTTGCTTTTATGCTGCAGAAGTAAAGGAATCTCACGTTGTGAGGATTTTTTTCCCATTTAAAATAAAAAAGGAAGAAAGAAAATAATTTTCCTTGTAAAGTCAGGCCAAACCCCAAGACAGCTGCATTTTCAACAAAGAAGCAAACAGACAAAAATAAATGAACTTTAATATTATCACTTCAGCATTGACAGCCAACTCCCAGTGTAAGCGTTTTTGTGACAAATCCAGGTTTACAAAATGCTTATGGGAAGAAAGCTTGAAGTTTGCTCTAAATGGAGTGAAAATGCACTGTTGTCTTGGAGGTATCATCTTGCACCCTAGCCAAACAATACCAAATTAATTTGGAGGTACTGATACTAAATTTAGAATCTCGTCTTTAATATGAGAACAAAAATTACTACAACTCAGCACCTCTCTCTCACTCTGCCCACTTTCAATTTAGTAATGGCACCATTTTTCTTAATTCCCTTAATGTCTGTCCACTGTATCCAATTGGCACAGATTTCCCCCTTCATCTCCAGTTACTAGCGGATACCCCCATCAATTCATCCTCCTCAAGCGTCTCAATTGAAAATAATCTTAATGATACAATCCCTGCTTTTGCCACAGGTTTGACATTAACTAGACGTTTCTGCCCCTGTGCTCATTACCCCTCCCAAAACAAGAGTTTTGTTTTTTTTTTAGTGAATTGATACACAATTAGATCCATTCCTGAGTTTTCATTTTTAACTATTTACTTTGTGTCAGTTGGTTTCTGCATAACAAGGGCATTCTCTTACAAAATAACTCACAACAGAAAAAAAAGTCAAGACAAAAATATATATATAGTACTGACATGGAGATTTCTTTCACTTTTTTAGTCTTAGTATGATCATCTATTTTTATATCTATATATATATAAATCACAGATTTTAACTTCTTAATTCCAAGCTCAGGGTTGACACACCTTTGTAAGAAAATGTTTTGTCAACCAGCTCTTCTTGTTTTGTGCTGCTCAAAGAAGGGATTCCTCAGTGATCTGTGAGCACCAAGAATCAAGAAAGAGAACTTTTTACGTATCTAACTGTCCATTTATTAAAAGTTTGCCAGGGCACAGGGCACACCCTTTTGCATGAGTGTGCTTCAGCCTGGGTGCTCCAGACTACACCAAGCTCATGAGATGAGCCATGAGTGTGCAGGGCTTTACCAGTGATGGAAACTGTATGTGTGAAGAATGTTATTCATGAGAAACCATTGCTTTCATGTAAAACACCTTCAGCCTAGGATTCCTGCTTGGCACTTGGATACATTACCTAACTCAACAGGTCAATTTAGAGCCACAGCCTAATCTATTCACCAAGCATGCCAAAGCCAGGCCCTATGCTCCCCCTGACAGAGAGAAGCAAAATAAAGCAAACTGTGGCTTTATGAATACAGTTGGCTATCCATATGTTTCTTGGTTTTATGATGCATCTGGAGTAGGGAAAAGTAATGTTTCAAGACACCATTATATGCCAGTCACATTTTAATTAACTCATCGACAGTATTGACACGTAAATGGTATTTTTCAATCTCTGTTCTCATCAAAATTAAAATTAGTTATTGATTTAGTCATCACATTTAAGTAGAACACATGCGGCACAATAGTATTAAGTATATTTGAGCACTTTTGCAAGACAGAAAGTATTTACAAGCATCTATTGCTACTTTATGCCTAATGAAATATAAAATGTAGGATTACGAGAGACTTTGTGGCATTCTTTCATTTAAACCTTTATGAAATTAACAATATAGTTCACCATTACATACTTCTAGAAAACCATCTGTTTCACTGCCCACATTTCGGCTTCCTACCACGAATTTCACGTAAGACATCTCTATGAAGGACCAGTAATTTACGTTGCTCATTTCATTGTATGTTGAGAAATCAGTATTGTCTTTCTCCAATAATTAAGGTGCAATACAAATTAAATCAACCTTGGTTTTCCAGACTGTTTGAGTAATAACTTGTTTTTATGGCTTTAAACTCCAACTCTTTCCTTTTAAAAATATTTCTGCATTCTCTTTTATGAAATAGATCAAGATGCCTTGTTTTTCCTGTGCTTTCACCCCCAAAACGTTTTATGCATGTGTATGAATACACATAATATTAATGAATGTGAACTCATGTTCTATAAGCAACTAAACACACAGAAAATATATAAATGCCTGCTTCATTTGTTTCAGCACCTTCGTTATCAATATGATTCATATTGATGAGATATAGCGATGCATAATGAGCCAGGCAGAGAGCTGAAGTGACTTATCAGTTAATGATGCCACAGTGTTAGCACCCTGCATGGATGTGGTCAAAATATCATTCAAGTTGTACTTCCTAGTTTTTATCATCCTACTACAATGTCATATGATTTTCAGACTGATTTAACACGAGAAATGTTTTTGGCTCTAAAGGATTTCATTTAACCTGGTTACCCTATTTCAGTTAAGTATTTGGAATTTACCCTTCAGATTAATTTTTCTCATTTCAGCACAGTGATAGGGGATGCAATGAGGCTCCTTTATTTTTTATGACCTGCCCCTCATTTGCTCTGATGTTCCCTAAATTCCGTAACCATACCATAACTTTCGTTATGACTAGAGAGGAATGGGCTCACTGAAATCCGACACTAGAAATTGGTGGGTGATGCTCATAACTGCAAACACTTAGCTTATTGAAGTGCCTCTATTTACATGTTCTTTAGTTATAATATGTATTTTTCTAACAGAAATACACGTCTGTAATTGGTATATATTATACTTTGTATGTGTCACAACAAAAGCTAAACAGAGGCTAAAGTCTTTAGCAGAGAAGAATGAATTACAAATTTACCAATGAGAGCTCTGTTTATGGTTCTATATTGAAGGACAACCATGACAACTTTCTGTCATTTTCATGAAGGCCAAGTTGGTACTTTGATTATAGCCATCGTAGAACATTAGTACTAGAAATCTGACTCCCTTACAATGACTTACCTAGATAGCATTAAGTAACTTGTATCACCTGCTTTAAATGTAAGGGATAGAAAATACTATTTTGTCTACACTGAAAAACACTATTATTCATTGACAAGTAGTAATAATTATAAAAGTAACATTCTTTAAAGCAAGCGCATTGAAAATATTATTGGAGGCAGAACGCTGATTTTTAATTTATATTCCCTGCTGCAGACATTAGCCTTCTTTAATTCTTTTGCCATTACCTACATGTTTTGGCTGGAGACTGAACACCAACTAAAGTCCCTAAGGAGGAATGAAACTTAACATATTCCTAAGATGTGATTCTTTTATTACTTCTTTTTGCAAAGTTAATTATCCAGTGATTTAATTAAACATAGAAGCATTAGCAAATTCAAGTTTTGACTTATCCAAAACTTGTAGAAATTTAAACTCATTTTCATTTACTTACTAACAGACCTGACTTTTATTTAAAAACACAATTTAGCTTTGCCAACAGAAGAGTAAAGGAAACCATAACTTACAAATTTGCAATGTGTTCCTCCTTGTTGGAGACATTAGCCAGTGTTTAGTTTTAGACCAACTTATACAAACAAGAGTATTGATTTGTACACATTCTGGAGACTTGCTATATCATGGTTTGCTATGGCACGGACTCAGCTTAGCATGGGGCATTTTGAACTTCTTTCAAAGTTGAGTAGTTACTGGAACTTTTGACACTGCCTTGTAATGAGGTACTTTCATGAGAAGTCCCCTAAGAATGGCATAATAGTGAGGTCTCTGTGTGCATATACATAATATATATGCAGGATAAATGTGTGCACCAATCAAACCTAAAATTTTATGTGACTGTCAAATGAATATTATTTGGGTTAAGATTTTTTCATTTCTGATTTGGATAGAAAATTGCTATTAATCTTGTATTAAAATAGTTTTTAAAAATCTACCAGTGCCCTTTCTGCATTTTCTTAATTATTGTCATAGTCTAAATTTCAGAGCTATGGAATTTTTTGTGTTCGATTTAATTTTAGAAGCCTCAATATTTAAAAACAACAACAAACCCCATATATTAAAACAGTGCCACTCACCTAAGTACACTCAGCATCTGAAATCAGGAACAATTTGAATGTTAGAACATTGAGAGCATCCCAAATGTGTATGGAAAATACTGTAGCTCTATTCTTTTATACTGATTTCTTCTCAGAGGGCAAATATAGTGACTTGGAAATGGATGTCGATACTTTATAAACGAAGTCAGAAAATAAGATCAAATGTAAAAAGACTAATAATTTCCAAATTTATCCAATTGCATTGATTTTTATACTTCTGAAATGTTTCCACGCTCTCCGGCATGCTAAATATTGTATAACCTGCTAAAGATTTATTTCACAAATATTTATTGAACTCTTACTCTGTACAAACCCTGCTCTAGGGGATTTATCACTGGCTGTGAAAAACCACCAGTTGAAATTATTTATTCCTTAATGCAGTTAACCATAATTATTACAGATAAATAATTTATTTCAAGAATGATCTTATAAATAAAGGAACCCATATAAATAAAGGCACCAAGAATACAGCATTTAACTGTAAGAAATACTGTGATTTAGCTCACATTATTACTATTTTGGTTTTTATTGAGAAAAGTGACTATTACAAAAAAAATTAAGGAATGTTAGGAATACTTTGGCATCTACAAGATCAAAATATAACAAATTTTATTTGGAAATAACACAAACCAATTTATTGGGAAGGAAAAACGTCCAAGTGGTTTTGGGAAAATAAATGAAACCAGACACTTTTGTCAGGTAACAATATTTATTTTAATTTGCCCTTTGGATAAGTGGCCAGGGATATAGTTAAAGTACATGCACAAATGTGGTAACAAAATTACATTGATTTTAAAAATCCAACTTGTAAATAGTGGCAATGAGGGATAAAGTGTTTTTGTATCTTGAGAGCTAGAAAAATGCAACCACAAATTTAAGTCTGTTTAAGTAGATGTTGACGACTGATTTAGTGCAGACACATTTCCATCCATAGACACATTTATTTGCTGGTGTAAACATGTGGCCAAACATATTTTGCTGGCTTATAAATAGGGCACGCGGCAAAGCCAGGAGGAATTAGATGCCTGCCTTTACAGCCTGCTTAAGGAGCACAAGCTCATGTACACCTTAAAGCATAAAGCAAAACGAGAAAATGGAAAAATGGAACTTTTACCCTGTGAATGTTTAAGTTTGGAGTGGAGAAAGAAGGATTACAAACCGGATTCAAGAGAGCAGAAGAATATTTACCTTGAATAAAGGCATCTTCCTTTCAATAAGAACAAGCATCTGTGGATTTTTTTTTAATTGAAAATATTACTGACCTTAGCAATTACTCACTTTTTCAAAAGATACATAATGAGAAATCATCCCATGCCAAACACGATTCTGGGTGCAACAGCAAGACACTAAAATTTCCACCCTCTCCCTGTAGTGAGGAAGAGACAGACAACATGTAAGCCAATAAATGAACAAGAAGATTCAGAAAGTGAAAGGTGCCATGAAGGAATAAAACAGGAAATGGGATAGCGACCAGGAAGGAAACTCTCCTTGAGGTTACTGGTCCAGGAGAGCCTGGGGCAATGGAGCTATGATGAATGGCAGGAGACAAGCAAGAGCAGACCTGGGGGTAGAAACTTCCGGGTAGAGAAAGTGCAAATGCAGAGATCTCAGTCCAGGAATGACCTGTACTTCAGCGTGACTGCAGTGAGGTAATGAGTGGTGAGATGGTTGAAGAACTGACTTTGGCAATTACCCATTTTTCTCAAAAGATATGTAATGAGAAATTATCCCATGCCAGACGGGATCCTGGGTGCAAGAGAAAGATGCTAAAATTGGGTCAGCCATGTTAAGCCTAATGGCCAAAGCTAAGGTTTTATCCCCTGGTGAAGCCAGAGCCCTAGTGGGACACAGCAGCCTGCAGGTCACACTCACTAACATTTTAAAGCATGTTTTTGCAAGGAACTATGCCAAGATCTCTATGTATTTCAGCATTTTTTTTTAGGTGGAGTCTTGCTCTGTCACCCAGGCTGGAGTGCAATGACATGATCTCAGCCCACTGCAAACTCTGCCTCCTGGGTTCAATCAATTCTCCTGTCTCAGCCTCCCGAGTAGCTGGGATTACAGGTGCCCACCACCACACTCGGCCAATTTTTTTTGTATTTTTAGTAGAGACAGGGTTTCACCATGTTGGCCAGGCTAGTCTCGAACTCCTGACCTCAGGTGATCCACCCACCTTAGCCTCCCAAAGTGCTAGGATTACAGGTGTGAGCCACCGTGCCCAGCTGTATTTCATCTTTATAGCATCTCCATGATATAAAGAGAATAATGCCCATTTTATATGGAATAAAATGAGACAGTGAAATTAGTAACACGTCCTGTCACACTAAGAAGATGATGATATGAAACCAGGTCTGAAGAACTGGACGGAAAAATAAAGGTATCAATATATAAGAATAAGTTTGTTTCTGTCAATTCAAATTCAATTCAATTATCCAAGCATGCTCTGAGAATTAACAAGTGTGCAAATTGGCAACAAGTGTGAAAACAGGAATCCAGAGATTTCTATTGGCATAAAGGATACATGTAAAATTTTAATTCTGAGATGAAGTGGCATTTAGTTGCTTCAGTTCTTAATTTTTTTTCAAAATTAAAGTCCTAAATAAATAAACAACTGGGGCTTCTAGGTTCTTATATACTTTTGAGTTTGCAGCCACCTTGAAGCAAAGTATGATCCCTAGGACAGAAACACGCGTAAGCCCACTTTCCCTTGTTTGTCAACTTGGCTTAGACATCATATTCACAGGAAGCAACTTAGATGTCAAATTCACAAAGCTTAGCCCAACTTCCAATGACTCTCCTGGATATTAGCCTTGTCTCTAATTTATCTATTCTGATGGTCGAGTGGACCTAAAATATAAATCAGAACAGCTCAACAATTAGCCAACTCA